AACCAAAATAAAATATATAGCACAAACCACAAAAGCTTGTGCTATATATATGTATTCACTTTGTTTAGTCTATAAAGTACAAATCTACCCTGCCTTCTGCTTGATTTCAGACTAACACAGCTAACTATGTCTCTCAAGCAGTCCCTGCAAGAACTGCCTCCAATTGGGCTGGAGCTGAGTGCAGGGGGAGCAGCTGCCTGCCAGAGAAGGGGGCTGTGGGCTGATACAGCGGGGAGAGGAGGTGAACCATGGGCTAGGTGGGATGTGTGATGATATGGTGGGCTGTTAGGGCCTGGGCTGTGGGGTTGCAGTGTGGGAGCTGTGGGGAAGATGCGCTTTTGAGCGGTACGAGGCTAGCTAGGCTGGGGAATATATGCAGGTTGCTGTGGAAATGGCAGACTGTGGGACTCTGAGGGAGTGAGTTATGGACTGTATAGGGGAGGGGAGCTCTGCTGTTGTGGTAAAGTTGTATGTGGGGCCATATGCCAGACCAGTGGGTAAGGGGTTGTGGGGATGGTGGACTGGGGGTGACCACATGGGGCTTGTAGCCATGTGACTGCCTGTAGGACCTGACAGTGGGCTGTGGGGGCTGTGCAAGGGTATAAGGGGAGCAATGCATGGAGATGCAAGACGCTCTGGTATGTACAGGATCCTCCGTGCCTGTGCAGTGTTAGAAGCCTGGGGCCTGTACCAGGGTTGCTCCCTGGTTTATGCTGTGAGGATATAGTAATGGAGGTTGTTTCAGGAGCCAGCCTACTCCCTGTTCCCTATCTGAGAGTATGTTGTGACAACCATGTGGCTTCTCTACGTGGGTGAGCATGAAGAGTGCAGAGATGGGATGGTGGCTGATGGTCCTGGATCCCTGATCAGTGATAAAATCCATGTTGTGTCCTTTCATGCAGGTGGCCCAGTGGACAGGATGCTGCCAACAGGCCATCTGTGAGCAGTGAATACGTGAGGGTGCAAGCCCAAGCTGGACTGAGGCCACCCCATCGGAGAAAATGGCTACTGAGATGGGACCAGCACCAGCCCTGGGTCTCCTGTTCCCAGGATTGGTTCAGACCTCAGTGAAGATGGAGGAGCAGGACCCAGCAGGTCCTGGATCTGGGGTGGGGCCTGAGGGAGCAGGGAAAGATCTTTCTGTTATCCAGGCCAGGACTGGTGGGGTGTCCCCAAGATGGGTGACAACAGAGCAAGTAAAAAAGGAGCCACAGGAGGAGCCAGCCCACCGCTGGGAGGTCCAGTGGCAGGAGGTGCCACAGGTCCTGTGGCCCCCTGCTGAAGCTGTGCCAGCTCCAGGTACCCCACAGCTGCCAGAGTTGGTACTGAGGGATGACCTCCCTGCCATGGAGAAGTGGCGCCAGCGCTTCAGGGGCTTTCGTTATCAAGAGGCCAAGGGACCATGGGAGGTGTGTTGCCACCTGCAGGACCTCTGCCAGCAATGGCTGGAGCCCCAGCGCCGCAGCAAGGAGCAGATCCTGGAGCTGCTGGTGCTGGAGCAGTTCCTGGCCATCCTGCCCCAGGAGATGCAGAGCTGGGAGTGGGGGCGTGGTGTGGAGACCTGTGCTGAAGCAGTGACACTGGCTGAGGGGTTTCAACTGGGGCAGCCAGAGGATGAGAAGTTCCAGGTGAGAGCATTTCATCCTGATCACTGTTGATAGTGTTGGTCCCATCTCCATGTGTCTGGGGTATGTTCCTTCCCATTCCCATCTCTCCCAGTTCCTGGCTCCCTAGTGACTTGTTTTCTTGTCCCCAGGTCACAGTACACATGGAGGTCAAGGAAATGGCCTTGGACAAGATGGCTTCAACTGGAGCAATGCGAAAACCGCATGACTCCTGGTTTGAGCAGCTGCAGTCCCATCCTGTATGTGTGCCCCAGGAGGAGGCAAGACAAGGTGAAACCCCAAGGCCCCAGGATGAGTCACCTTATGTTTCTGAAGAAGAGTCACCATCCCACCAGGAGTTAGGTAAGTATGCAGGGGCCTGGGTCTTCACACCAGAGTGCCTGTTCAGCATTTGGGATGAGATATGCTCTATCCCTACCCATCTCAGGTGTGACAGGTCCTTGATCTCTATAACTGCATTTCTGGGGTAGGACAGGGCTCCTATTTCTGGTACTTGGCAGCCCCTAGTTTGAGAGGTCCCTGACCTTTTTCACTGCATGTTTGCAGACCCAGTAGAAACATCCTGGAAACATTGAAACATTGAAACAGAGAAACATTGGCCCTTATACTGCTATAATGTTTGAAATCAACAATCAAATTCAGTCATCTTTCTCTCATGCCTGCTCTGAGCCCTGTCTGCCCAAAAATGGGCTAGTGCAGTTGTTGGGGAAATGGGTTTGCCAAACAACTTTTGAGTCTCCATGTGCAGTTAGCTCCAGGTCTCTGTCCTGCTGCAGATTCCCCTGACACAGAGGAGACCTGGGATTCATCAGCAGATGAAAGCTCCTCAGGCTGGTTCCCTAGACAAAGCCCTTCTTCAGGAGAAGGTAAGGAGCAGCATTGTGTTCTTTCCAGCAGCAAGAGGCACTGTCTGTCAGTGGAAAACATTCATCTGGCCGTGCTTTTTAATGGGACTCTCTGCTTCAGCAGATAGGCTTTTCCTTTTCTCCTGTCATCCTTTGGAACACCTTGTTATACCCTGGAGCAGATGGCCCTGGTCTTTCCCTTCCCTTTAACCTTAAATTATGGGTCCTAGCTTAGCACCAGGATCCCCATGACATGCAGTGTCCTTACAGATTTTGACATGGCGCTGTACATGCCATTCTGAGCAGGTCAGAGTCCTCAAGGCTCTTCTCAAATTTTATGACCAGAGAAGTCTATTAGCAGGAGCTGTGGGACTTCTCTCTCTCACGCACTGAGGCTTGAGGATACATTAGGCACATGCCAGCCTGGGAGAAATAGCAGAGCTTTCTCTGTGCCAGCAGAACTGGGGCTTGCCTGTGGGCTCGCTTCCCCACCCAGTAGGTGCAGGGAGCCTGAGCAAAGCTGAGAAGCAGTTTCTTGAAGACAGGCCTTCAAACTAGGAACTGTTGAGTGGGAGGCTGGAATAGAGAGGTTTCTTTATATTGTTGGGAATAGCCCAAAGTCATCAAGTAGTACACTGCATTGGGTCTCTCTGCTCTCACAAGGTGTCAAACTTTCATTTTGGTTCTATCTGTTTCTGGTCACTGTACAGTCAATTTGTCTTTATTGACCATCTCTTTTGGATGTGATTCTAGGATTGTCCTTGTTCTGAGAAATTGCCTAGATCAATGTCACAGGATAAGCTTTTGCATGCTGTAAAATGTGTCTCTTCTTTTTTTGGTCCCTATCCATAACTCCCATTGACTGTGTCATACCATTACAGTGTTTACAAACTTGCACATTTGTATCCACTCCTGTGACCATCCTTCCTCTGGATGGAAATGTTGCTATTAGTTACATTTACAGTTATTAAAAAATCTTTCCTATGCACTGTGGATGATGAATTACATTCTCTTCCATAAAAAATGAGTTGTCACCCATCATTAACTCTTTTCACATCCATAAGTCCTCGCTTTAAACCTTCACCACAAATAAGTTCATTTCCATTTCTTTGCCTAGAATTACCTTAATAAGAGAGATTTTATCCATCTGTAACGGTATTCAATGTTACTGGAGTTTAGGTTGTAGCCGTGTTGGTCTAAGGACATAGGCAGACAAGGTTCCTTGGGTGAATATGATATCTTTTATTAGACCAACCCAAATTTGGGTTGGTCTAATAAAAGATATCAAATTCACCCAAGGAACCTTGTCTGCCTTCAATGTTACTGTTCATTTTTACACCTTGAAAATATGTAAAAGCTTTCTCTTTCTTTCCAGTATATCACAGATCATTGAATCTCTGCCCCCACCTTCCCTGGTGCTTCTATTTTTCTTATACCCCTTATATACCACTGCATGGTTGGTACTCTGTATTTCAATGACCATCCCTCCACTAACTGGGTGACAAGGTCCATCATCTATTGAAGGTTTTCCCCTGCAGTGCCTTCTCTTTCATTCTAAATGTCTACCTTCCCTTTTCCTTCAAGACTTTAGTAGAAGTCTTGAGTTCATTGGATTCATTTTCCAGTTGGTTACTCTTCATCTAGTACCCAGTCATAAACACTCTTTAACCACTGCCCCAAACAGGAAATCAAGGCCCAACACCTGACTTGATCTGCCACGGTGAGGGGAGGTGGAGCTCTGGGTCTGTGATGAAAACCATGGAGAAAGCTCATGGTCTAAGGGCCTGTGCCCAGGTGACTTGTGTCAGTCCCCTGCAGCCCACACCCCTCTCAGAAATGCTCAATACCCAGAATTATAGGGGACCTGGAAACTGCAGATCTGCCCTGTGTTGCTACCCCAAGATGTTGACCTCAAATGGGTTATTCCATAATGCGTACAAGCAGGTGTTGTTTCTACTTCCTACAGTTCAGTCATTTGGAGACAAGCAGTTGTTCCATTCTTCCCCTCATTAGGGTTGTTGAGGCCAATGCTAGTCTGCAGTTTTGAATTTTAGGCATAGATCTGGTCTCCCTGGGATGCAATGGTCTCTAATTTCCATCTTCACTCAGCAATGTAAGAATTTATTCCCCAACCCAAGGTGCCTATACCTCTATCACAGCCTGTATGACGGTATCTGTAATCCCCTATGGAAGTTGGCATGGTTGGCAGAAGCTCTGGGGAGCCCTTAGTGTTGAAAAACAGAAAGACTGGGGCTCTTCTACCCACTGCTATTGGTTCCTCATGATTGGTTTGAAGTGGAATTCAGAAAGTGGTTTAATCAGTTTCTCAGGCTGTATTATATGGCTTCATGGGGTGGACAGGATTCACAGTTTTCATTTGTGCAGGTGAGGGAATTGTGAACACTTCATGGTTTACACCAGAATATCCCTTTCTGTTCCATCTCTGGAGCCCCCAGTGTCACAATCCCTGGGCCCCAACACATAGCCCATATGCAACTTAATCCCAAGGCCTTTGCCCTGATGCAGTTTCCATGACCTGGAAGGATAGCTAGGACTAATGATTAGAAAATAACTCTGTGGACTCATTCCCTGCAACAGATCTTTCCCTGCAGGCAGGTAGGAACCAGAGCTCTGCTCCCTCCAGAAGATAGCCACAGAGTTCATTTCAGGCCTGGCTTATCAGTTGCAAATCCTCCCCTCCCAGAACATTTCTTGGAGGGATAAAACATTCTGACTTTCCTACCAAGCCCAGCAGCCCCTTAGGATTTGTCTATACCACAGAAGCATATGGTCCTGAAGAAAGCAGTGCTGAATGCTCCACATAAACCAATGCCTGCTGACCAGTTCCAGAAACCCACCCATGAAACTGCTTTGGACTTGTCCCCAGATGCTTCTCTCAGGAGTGCAAGAGATCAAGAACAAGCACTGGAGACAAGTTCTGAGCAGCCTAACTAATGAACTTCGGCCTCTGGAGCATGTCAGCCAAGTCAGGTGGATGTGGGAGTGCTCAACATCAACTCCGTAAGGACCTACCAGTGTTGTGGGGTAGGTAGATAAGCCCTTAGAGTGCCTCATTTTTCCTTTAAGCATATGCTTCTTGTCTCATTCTCAGCTCAAGCATGAAGCCATTCATTTACTGTCCTAACTCAAATCCCACATGTGTTTCCCTTGTAGGGTGTCTGAGATGATGGGGCTTGGATGCAACAAGCTTTGAGAAACTGTCTGTGAAGTCCACTGAATAAGGGATTATTAGCACAGTACACTTACCTGTCTTTCTTTCTCTTGCACCAAGGACTTGGCATCCCAGGAGATAGACCTCATTTTATTAAAGAAACACAAATGCCAAGGCCCTGTCCTGTTCTGAGACCCATCCCAGCACCGTGAATAGCAGTTTGCCATGTTCCAGCAAGACAGTATAATTTTGTTTTTCCTTCTCCACACAGCAGATGCCGGGGTGCTAAGCAGAGCGGAGGAGCTGCCTCCTGAGGAAAGGCCTGAAAAATTAGAGCTACTGAGGACATCCCCAGGGATATCAGGGGAGAAAGACTCTCCGAGACCTGAGGAAGGTCAATTGCACAAGAGTCAGCACGGGCTCCATAAGCAGAGGGAAAACAAGGCAGCAAATGAGGTATCAGCTCCAGCTGGGTGTGAGATTGGAGCTGGAACAGAGCCAGGAAAAAGCCGAGGCTGTGGGGAAGAATTTGAGAAGCTGAGAGATGCAGCGATCCACAAGGGGAAGCTTCACCAGCAGGAGGGACTGAATCCAAACCATGCTGGTGGGGAGGGCCTCAAAGGGCAGCAGGAGCTCACCACTAAGCACAGTGAGACAGTCCACTCCTGCCCCAAATGCAGGAAAACCTTTGACTGCCCATTGCACCTGGCCTTGCACAAGATCATGCATAACAAAGAGTTGCGTGAATGCGCTGAATGTGGGAAGAGCTTCACCCATCTCTCGACTCTGGCTGCTCACCGCAAGATCCACTCTGGAGAGCGCCCCCACTGCTGCACCCATTGTGGGAAAAGCTTTGTTTTCCAACGGGACCTGTCCCGGCATCAACGCGTGCACATGGAGGAGAGGCCGTACCGCTGTGCTGAATGTGGGAAGAGCTTCATCCAGCACTCCCACTTGGCCCAGCACCAGCGCATCCATTCCGGGGAGCGTCCCCACAGCTGTACAGAGTGTGGGAACAGCTTCACTTGCCGTTCACACCTGGCCAGACACCAACGCATGCATACAGGGGAGAGGCCGTACCACTGTGCTGAGTGTGGGAAGAACTTCAGCCACTCCTCAACCCTTGCCCGGCACCACCTTATTCACTCAGGGGAGAAGCCCCATCGGTGCTTCCAGTGTGGAAAGAGCTTCGCCCGCTCCTCCCACCTGTTGCAGCACCAGCACATCCACTCAGGCGAGAAGCCACACCAGTGCTCAGAGTGTGGGAAGAGCTTCAACTGCTTCTCCAACCTGGCCCAGCACCGGCGCATCCATTCCAGGGACTATCCCCACAGTTGTGCGGATTGTGGAAAGGGCTTCAGCTGCCCCTCCAACCTGGCCAAGCACCAGCGTGTCCACTCTGGGGAGCGTCCCCACAGCTGCACAGAGTGTGGGAAGAGCTTCGCTTGCCCTTCAAGCCTGGCAAAACACCAACGTGTGCACACGGGGGAAAAGCCATTCTGCTGTGCTGAATGTGGGAGGAGCTTCAGCCACTCCTCCCACCTGGCCCGGCACCAGCGCAGCCATGCAGGGGAGAAGCCCCATCAGTGCTTTCAGTGTGGGAAGAACTTCACCCGCCCCTCCCACCTTGCTCGGCACCAGCACCTCCACATGCAGGAGGCTGTAACTCAGCCATAACTCAGCCAGCAGTGTGGATGGGCTTCGGGGACACCTACACCCTCTGCACTGACTGCTGCCTATGTTTGAGCAAGCGGCTTCATCCCTAGGCTGAGTGCAGAGAGAGATTTACCCACTCTTATCCCTCCTGAAACACTGTAGTATTGACTAAGCCTCATGTTTTGATTGCGGGGGCTGAGAGAAAACTCCCCCTGTAAGCTGGTATGCCAGTGTTGGCTTGGGTCCTAGATCTGCTCCTTGCCACTCAGGAAGTGGGCAGATTTTGGCTCCAGAGTAGGTTCCATAGAGACAGAGTTGTGGTGATTGGGAAAGGCCTCAGGCAGAGTTAGTTTGGGCAATGGGGGCATCTCTGGAGAGACTCTTCATCCTCCTCATGGCAGCAGTCTTAGAACCTACATCCTCCTCATGGGCTGGGAACCCCCAATTTCTCCAGGTGGAACAGTGGTGTCCTCCCAAGACAACTGAGTTGACTGATATCCAGTGACTCATGTCCCCTTCCAGCTCTATCTTCTCTGACGCTCTTATGGTTTGGGTATGTGAGACTCTTGGATTACAGAAATAAGATGTTTATTCTTATTAGGAAAGCATTCCCTGTGCTGTATCCTGACCTTGCCTTTCCTTACTCCCACATAAACCCTTTCCAGATGTGCTTGTGTCCATCAGGTCTTTGCAAGATGCAGCTGCTGCTTCCTCCAGAGCTCATTCATCAGGTTTGCTCTTCAGTCTCCCCAGAACTCTACGCTGCCAAATGCCTGCTGCTGCTGCTATCCCCTGACATTTCTTTGTCTATAATGGCTTCTCTTCTAATAAAACCCCCAGGTTTAACATGATGGTCCAGTGGTAGGTCTCTAATTCCTCTTCAGAGCTGTAAAATGGGCATGGACCAGGGCCAGAGCCTCTTCCAGGCCCAAAGGACTTTGAGATTTCCCAGCCCCCCTCACCTTCCGGTGGGATCATTGAGATCCACACAGTGCTGTACAATGAAGAACGTACACCAGGGATGATTTAGCAAGGTTTTCTGAGAAGTAGGTACACTCTGCTGGGTGACAGGAGGATGGCGAGGCTGAAGGAGGGACATTCTGTAGCAGGTCTCACCTTTCCCATGGGAAGCAGATGGAAGGTGCATGAGCAGCCTTTTGGGTTAAAAACAGGAACATTGGAATCTCCCATTGTAAACATTTAGCTTTCTCTACTATTTCTGAAGCTATTTGTTGCTAAGATTAGGTAGGTTAATTACTTATCTCAGCACATGGTGTTTGTGCCCGCCTCTGCTCGATTAGGCGCTCTCGTGCAGCCTTAGCCTGTACTATTGATCGCGCCTGTCCTGGGCTTGCGGGTGGACCCCAAAGACCACCCCAGCTGACATCAGGGGAGCCCCTTGACTCTCCTGCCACAACTTTGAATGTTAACTCAGTGGAGGGGTTCCCCTTCAAGGCAGCCTCCAGGGTCGTCGCGCCGCCCGGCAGGCAGTCACAGGGCTCCGACCTCCCCTACACCCCGGCCACTCACCACCTTGGGTTGCCGGTCTTCGGGCAACCCAAGGCGTTCTTGGCTCTTAGGCGTTCTTGGCTCTACCCGACCTCTTCCCGCGGCCTGCCAGCTACGTGCCAGTGTCTTCAGGCCGTGTCTTGATGCACGGACTTCGAAGTCCTCCAACCTGGCTCCACCAATCTGAATTCCTAACGCCCTATCCCTGTGACTTAACGTGCACTTCCCACCACCGTGATAGCTGAAGCACTAAGGCTACTGGGCCAGGAGGCCACGAAGGGTACCCGGGCCTATGGGCCCCGAGGATCCCCCTGTGCCCAGCTACTCAGCCCTGGTGGCTCACCTTTTACGGTAGTTCTCTGGGGCGCCCCGCCCGCCACTTGTTCCGTCCCTCCTTGGGGTCTTCGGCCGCCCTCCGGCGACACCCAATGGGGTCCCTGCTGGCCACGCCTTGTTGCCTCCTCTCCAAGGCTTTACTGCAGTCTCATTCTTTGATCCCAGCGCCGGTTTGCCCGACGATGCTTTCCCTGCGTCTGTAATCGGCTGCTCCGCTGGCACTGCTGCCGGTTCTGCTGCAGGTGCTGCTGCTGGAGCCTTTGCCGGCTTCGCTGCCAGCCTCTCTCCTGGCTTCTCTGTGAGCCCGGCTGCAGGTGTCGCCGCCTGCTCCTCCGCCGGCATCGCTCCCGGCTTTACTGCTGCCTCTGTTGCCAGCGTCACTGCCTACTCTGTCGGCTCTGTTGTTGGCCTCACTGCCGGCTCTCCTGACTCTGCCCCCGACTTCCCACGCTGCCTGACGCAGCAGCTGAGCCCCTCTGGGTGAGGGCTCCCTCCCCGAGCCTCCGCTCGTCTGCCGCCCCGCCATATCCTTGGGACAGCTTTTTATTTCCACTGGGCGGCGTCTCCCGCCCACGCTGCCCAGCCTCAGCTGAATATAAGCGTGGCTGACCAGCCGTGATGGTGGTTTTGCTGTGCATGTCTCCTCCTGCTCTTCGGGCTCTGCGGAAGGTAAGCGAGGCTTTCCTTTGGCCTGGGGCCCTCCTACAACCCCAGCTCCCCTGGGACAGTCCTTACTTTCATCCTTTCACCAATTGCCTTATCAGCTGATCTCCCTGTGAGCGGGTGCAGGTTCCTAGCTCCTCCTCCCTTCAGTAGTTGCCTGCCACGACTTGGATTGAAAGGAAATGAAGGAGGTATTAGTTGTATTTTAATACTAGTGATCAATAAACGCCACCCAGATAGTACATGCTCATAGTGCAGGTTTATTTTCCAAAGTGAAGTTGCACGGTAGCAGTAACCTCGCTAATTATTTCATTAGTTAGCCACATCAGAATTGCCAAACATAACTTGGCACCTTATACTTCCAGGTTACATTGAAGTGCTCAACGTTCTAAGCACTAATTATCTTGTTAGCAAGGCGTGTTCCTCACGTCTCTCGCATCTGCCTCTTGCTCGGAGTAGTCTTGGCTGCTCCTCTGCTTCTCATGCTGCTGCTCTCAGTGGCGTTGCAGTTCTAGGGTCAGGGTCAGGGCTAGCGTGGGATCTTCCTGCCTGCCCGTTGTCCCGGGATGCCTCTCTCTCTCTACTCAGGGGTCCCCTGGCCACCTGCTCTGCAAAGTCCCGCTTCTCACCACAACTCACTAGAGCCACTGGAATCGTAAAGTACGTAGCCTGCCTCTAGACTGGCGTCGTCAAGTCTTGAATCCCGCAGTCTTGGCGTCTTTCCCGGTCGGCAGGCGGGCTCCTGGTTTTCTCCACCGTCTGTGGCCTCGGCCATCCCTCACACTCTTCTTGTGCCGGAAAGCAAAAGGTATCTGTTCTACCACTGAATATATACCAGCCGTGGCAAGCTAATCACCCAGTCCTGCCCCAGGTGTGTAATTCCCTCCACCTGGCAGGGTGCATTGTCGGGTCAGTTGTGCCCAATCCTGCCTTAGTAACAGGGCTCCTGCCTGAGTCCCTGTTACACTCCCAATCTTTGGACTTTGGAAGGGGCAAAAAGAGCACCTGCTGTTATCTTTCCTGAACAGAGAAGTTCAAGAACTCAGAAAACAGCCCCAACTTTCTCTAAATTACATTAAAAAATAAACCTCATGACTTTTGAATTACCATTGATTTTTTGGAGGAGAGAGGGTTTGTTTTGTGTTGAACTTCACCACAGAAAGTGGAATTGGATTTTGTGTTACATGGTTTGAAGCTGCCTATTACACACTGAATTACAAGAGGCTGAATATGCTGATGAGTGGGAGAAGGGAGCATGGTGGCAGGTCAATTAGGGTCACCTTCTGTGTCTCCAGAAGGCATGAATTCAAAGCCTGGCTATCAAACGCTTCCCTCAGCCCACCCTGCTGTAAATGGGATCATGTCCATTCAGGCTGAGGAAGCAAAGGAGGCTGGATGGGATGCTGGATCCATCTGTCCCTTGTGCTGTTAGTTATAGAAACTGGTGTGCCTTAACTATGCCAGTACAATAGGCTTTTTTAGGCTTTGGAAGATCTTTGACTGTACACAGGGCTCCTACTCATACTCGCCTCTGTAGGCAGGACAAGCTATAGCCACCAGGACTTCAACATGAGGGATACCCATGTTTAGGATAGGCATGATAAAGACACTGGATGCAGAATATAAGTGCCGAATACTGGGAACATGTCCCGTATACAGTCTGTGGCACACAGGAACAGCTCCCTTTTCTCCATAGGGGCTGCCCAGGAACTCAGTGGGTGACCTGCCTCCTCCTCAGCACCTTCTAGCTCCCAGCCCTGAATCCCCCTGAAACCTCATACACTTGTCACTGTGATGGAGCATAAGCAAAAAATTGCGCCGGGCAGAAGAGCCGAAGTATACCCCACTCTGCAAATGTAGGTCAGGGCTGGGCCTCTACTGAATGGGTGCAGGGACCTTGGGTGACAAGTCAGGACTGGGGCAATAAGAACTAAGGTCCAGATGCTAATTCACCTATTAGTGGCCTAAGAAATCTTACATGCATAAGTGAGAGCCTATTCCATCCTGCTCCAGTTCTTAGGAAACAACTCGTGCAAAATGTTTGAGATCTGCTCCTGCTCACTGATTTTGATGCCTTGGTCCGAAAGAAAAGAAGACAGTATGTTTCAGAAGTATATGGGTCAAAGCTTTTTTTCAGCCCATTGAGGTGGGACCATTTTCACCTTGGGTGGTAGTAGTGAGGTTGAAAAAAACATCCCTGTGCCCAAGATTTTTTAACCCTCAAGGCTGAAAAGGAGCCAAAATAAACCAAATCAAAATAAGTGTTTCCCTCATAGCATAACTCCTCACCATCAGACAGTGAGGTGCAGTCAATGGGGTAGAATGGAGGAGGCTGAAACTGAACTCATTTAAATTGTCTCCATAAAACAAGGCCCTTTTTGCTGTGTCTTCAGCAGAGAGCAAAGTTTCACAGGCCCCCATCCCCACTTGGGGAGCCTGTCCAAGGGCACCTCCCCTGTGAGAAGAGTTGTTTCTAGATGGGCAGTTATAGCAGTTGCCTCAGCCCTCCCTCACCCCCCAACTCTCCACTCAGCCCTCTGAGGATTGGGGGCTCAACAATCCTGGTCTGGGGGTACTGGTTTTGGGGAGAGTAATTGGTCTTATCACCACTGGAGCCAATGCCAGTAGCCCAACCAGGCATGGAGGGGTGAAAGGGAAAAGACTCATTCCCCACAGGCACCAGAGAGTTTGCCCTTCCAGCCTGCTGCAGTCCCATCTCCATCACAGCTCCCTGCCCCAAGGGCTACTGGAGAGGTCTCAACCCCACTGATGTTATCTGATCTCACCAAGGCAGGGTAGAGATGCACCTTATGGATAACCTATATTCTTACCAGCCCTTCTGCTACCTTTCCTCTGCATGGGAATGGACTTCTTTTGGGCTTCAAGGATCGTGTCCTTGAGGAACAACCACTTTTCATGTACTCCTTTCACCTTCGGTCCCTGGCCCCACAGCACTTCCCCTACTGTTGCCCTGAGCCTACTGACATTCACATTTTTAAAGTTCAAAACTTCAATCCTAAACATAATGGTTTTGTGGTTACTGTCACCCAGGCTACCCTCTACATTCAAGTTGTTCACCAGATCGTCTTCTTTGGCCAAGACCAAGTCTAGGAGAGCATTACCTCTGGTTGGCCCATGCACTTCCTGAGTCAGGTAGAGCTCTTTGATACAGGTCAGGAAGCAATGCGACTGATCCAATTTAGCTGAGTGTTCCTCCCAAGAATTGTCTGGGTAATTGAAGTCACCCATGACAACCATGTCCCGTGTGTGCGCAGCCTCTACCAATTCTTGAGAGAACACCAGATCAAGCTCCTCCTCCTGGTTTGGTGGTCTGTAGTATAGACCTAACAGTTAGGTCTCTCTCACCCTCCCCCCACCCTTAGTTTGACCCAGAGGGTTTTGAACCGATTTTCTTTGGAGCCAATGTCGGCCTCCAAGGAGGTGTACTGCTTCCTCACATAGAGAGCTACACCTCCACTTTTCTTCCCTACTAGGTCCCTTCTGTGCAGCATGTAGCCCTCTATGGCTACATTCCAATCATGTGAGGAGTCCCACCAGGTCTCTGTAATCCCTACTAGATCATAATGCCCACTGGAGGGTAGGAGGGCTACCTCCTGCTTGTTCCCCATGCTCCTGGCATTAGTGTACCTGAGTCCTCCCTTTGAGACTCTTGATTTCCTGCCATGCTGAGGGAGAACCATTCTCTCAAATCTTGCAGGAGTGGCTCTCCTGGTGTCCCCAACTTTGGAGCTTTGTTGTGTGCCAGAACTCAGGCATGCTCCAGTCAGTTTTCCCCCATCCCCCAGCCATCTAGTTTAAAGCCCTATCTAGAAGATCAGCTGTCTGGCCAAGAACAGGGACTTACCTCTCCATGTGAGGTGAATTCTGTCCCTTCCCAGGAGTCCTCTCTCCCTAAAGTGTGCGCTGTGGTCAAAGAAACCGAAGCCCTGTTGGTACGGCCACTGCTGGAGTTGTCAGTTCACTTCTTCGAGACATCCTTCCCTCCTAGGTCCATGGTCTGCAACTGGGAGCACAGAGAAAAAGACTATCTGTGCCCCCAACCCCTTGAGCCCAGCCCCCAGAGCCCTGTAGTTACTCATGACCTGGTCCAGATTACTCCTGGCCATGTCATTCATGCCCACATGGGTGAGGAGCATGAGGTAGTGGCCAGAGGTTCAGACGAGCCTAGAGATCCTCTCTGCAATATCCCAGATGCGGGCCCCAGGGAGGCAGCAAAACTCACGGGCTAGGGGGTCTGGATGGCAGATGGGTCCCTCAGTGCCCTGCAGGAGTGCCCCACTACCACCCTGCATCTCCTCTTGGG